GGGATTCTGTGATTCTATGATATATAAGAAGGCAGGAATTCTTAAGGCCAGTAGACAGGTACTGACAGAAGAGCTTTTGCAAATTTTAAAAAATTAAACTACCTACTAGAAGCATCTTTGATGTCTATTAATCCTGAATTTCTACAATGAACCAGCACACAAGAGAACAGAAATGGAGAACAGGAAATATTCAGAGGAGGAAGAGAGAAGATAAAAAGAACAGCAAAATGAAAGGCAATAAAGAGATGGGTCTTAAGGCAGTTGAGGACTTTACACCGAGAAGGTCTGAAGTATGGGGAAGCAGTGGATGTGTTCCTTCTCAAAGATATAACATGGTGTGCACAGTCCAGCAGAAACAGAGCACCCTTGCAAGAATCTGGATGGGCTTCCCAACAGTTCTTTCAAGGGAAAAAAAATTAAAATAAATTTTAAAAAAATCAAGCTGTAAGCAAGTAGCTTTATCTAGAAAGCCAGAAAAAAAAAATACAGATGTGCAACACCATCCTGTGTGTCCTGCTACAGAATTAAGCTCAATAGAGACTAGTTATGGCCCAAAGGAATTCTCTTCAACCCCATCTTCTCTAAAAGCTGGCTATGGCTGCAGCAACAGCACGCATCACCGGGAAGATAGGTGAGGAGCTCACAGCTCCAACAGTCGCTGCCACCTCTCTCTGCCAAACATAATCTAGTGTGATCAGCAGAATTCAGACACACAGAGTTCAGCAAAGAAACTGCTTATGAGATGTTCAAGAAGCGCCCTCAGATGAGTCTGGTGGCTCAAGTCGAGCTATACAATGACAGAGATATGAAGTTACACGTGGCCTCAGTCACACTCTCACCAGAATAAATCCACACCAGAACTTTCACTTCCTGAGAGTCACTGCTGTTAAAGAAAGTACTGAAATGTCACACGAGCAGAAAGACAAACGTGCAAGGTCATGATAACAAACATTCATTCCCTACCACAGCATGTGAAAAGTTCCTCTCTGAAATAAGATTTCATTTACCTTTTTCTCTGCTTTCTCCTTTCCATGTTCTCTTAAATGCTCCCCATCTCTGTCTCTCTGTCTGTCCCTTTCCCGATCTTTGCCTCTGTCTCTGTCTTTCTCTCGCTCTCTGTCCCTACCCTTCTCTTTGTCTCTTCCTTTCAGTCTGTCATTTTCTCTTCCTCCTTCGTTTTTTTTCTCTCTTTCCTGTCCTTTATCACGCTTGACATCATCTTCTCTTTCTATGTCTCCTTTTCCCTTGTTCTTTTCTGTTTCTCTTCCTTGCTTGGTTGTTCTGCTTTTGTTTCTTTCTCTTTCTTGTTTTTCTCCTTCCTTAAAGGTGTCTCTTTGTGGATCTTTGTGCCTGTCTTCATTATCCTTCTGTTTATCACTTTCCTTTTCTCTTTCTTCGCTCTCTTTCAAATCTCCCTTAGGTTTTTTGTCTCTGCTTGAGCTTCTGTCTTTAATTTCAGTGTCTCCTCTACCCTAAAAAGAAAGTAAAAATTAAAAATTCATTCCAATACATGGCAACTCTATCATGCAGTTACTTTACACAGACAAAAATGCAAGCTAAAAAAAAACCCCAAACAGCAGGTAACTGCACCCCAGAAAAGTTGCACATGTCTACCTCTGGATCTCTATGGCTTTTCTGTTCTTCTGGTTTGGATTCTCTGCTTTCTTTATCTTGAGATTTAGAGGACAGAGGCTTCCCTTTCGCATCAGCTCTTTCCCCAGCTAAGATCCTTTTTACAGCAACATCACTGGACAGCTGCAAGGAACAGAAAAACATCATTGAAATAAGTAAATGACTTTATTAAGTATGTCCTTTTCTATTAACTCTGTAATCAATGTGACTTGGGGGTTTTTTTGTTGTTTTGGTTTGTTTTTTTTAAAAATAAAGTTTATGTTTCTGCTCTTTTGAGGACATTTCAAGAAAGCTGGGGAGGGACTTTTCATAAGGGCAGTTAATGACAGAACAAGGGGAAATGGGTTTAAGCTGAAAGAGGGGAGGTTTAGATGAGATATTAGGAAGAAGTTCTTCACTGTGAGGGTGGTCAGACACTGGAACAGGTTGCCCAAGGAAGTTGTGGCTGCCCCTCCCTGGAAGTGTTGAAGGCCAGGCTGGATGAGGCTTTGAGCAACCTGGTCTAGTGGAAGGTGTCCCTGCTGCTGGCAGGGGGGTTGGAACTGGATGAGCTTTAAGGTCCCTTCCAACCCAAACCAGTCTATGATTCTATGATTTCACAGCAGTAATAATGCTCTTTTATGCCAAACATCTCTTTGCAATGCTTGTAATAATTTGATTATAGGTACCAGAGCTATATAAAGACATGGTGCTTTTGATCTATTATAGCACAAGAGCAATTCTCATTGCAACAACTTTAATATTTTTCAAAATAAGGGCAAATCCTTATACCACAAGGGCTAGATTGGTTAAATACTCTGAAAACCACATTATGCTGTGTTTGCATCCACTCTTGGGCCGCTCCACTTTCACCTAATACTTGCTCAATCAGCAACAGTCACTAAAGAAAACTACGTTAAGAATGACTCCCAATAAGCTGCAGTTAGACTGTTGAAAAGGCTTTTGCATCTTGTTTATTTGTTAAGATGACAAGCAATTATTAATTAGATCATCTGGACAGCAAGTTAATGATGTGTTTTCACATCCAAGTGGCAAAGGGTTTGACTATATTAACCACCAAAAAAAAAAAATCATCACATTGCCAGGGAATTCTTCTTCCTGGAACAGGAAGAGCTTTTAGATCACTCAAATTGATATTGCCCTGGGGGTTGACTCCTGATTCTCTTTCCTGATTCTCTTTACATTCTCTTTTGTAAATGCAAAACTATGAATTTTTGTGGGTTTTCACATTTGGACACAAACTTCTGCACATTAGCAACATTATTTTCCTGAAGGAGGTAACTCCAAGCAGCCTGTTCAGCTCAGCACTAAAAGTCTCAAGCTAGAGAATGAAGGAAAACTTCTCCCACAGTGCACATCAAGCACAATTAAAAGCCAAGGGGCAAATTATTTTAGCTCAAATGGGTAGGTTATATCCTCTGGATATTAAATCTCATCACAACATTCTACAAAGCTGTTCCATCAAGCACATTTTCTAACTCACCCAAGTCTCTGTGCTTGTTTATCAGCTTCCCCCTTCCTGATCTCAAGCAATTCATAAGGAAGAAGCTGATAGCACTCAGCTCATCAAAACAAAATAGCATAAATTTAAATTAGTAGATTTGCAGACAAAAATAATCCAAACTAAACTTGCAGTCAGCCTGTAAACACTGCAGTATTTCACCATTAATTATACACAATTTCTTCACACTCATTAATTCAAGGGGTTTGTATTTCTGTAACACCTATAAGCAAAAAAATCCCTATTACTCTTCATGAAACAATTATACAATTATTTTAAGAATGCAACAATTATTTAAGAACTGCCCCTGTAGTTATTTTTAACAGGTTATCAAATTGCTCCTTTGCTGTATTTCCATATTCAAAAAAGAAGGGGGGAGGAGGGGAAAGGCAGCACATTGGAAAAATTACTTTCATTACAGAATTAAAGATTTGACCAAAATTTTAAAGGAGATATAAAGTCAAAAGTGGCAGCATCTGGTCCTATAATGTCTACATCCAAAAGTTTTAAAAGTTCTGAAGCTTCATATTCTTCTTCTAACCTCATAAATGTTATTAAAATGACCAATGAATAAGGTGAAAAAATAAAAAAACAGTATACAGCAAAAGAAATAAAAGATCCAGAGGGTATTTTTGTGGGGAGCTGGCTCAAACTCTGCTATGAATCATATCCTATCTCTCTGCTGTTGTTGTTATCATTATTACTATTGCTGTTATTACCATTATTATTATTGTTATTATAGAATATCATAGAATGGTTTGGATTGGAAGAGACCTGAAAGCTCATCCAGTTCCAACCCCCCTGCCAGCAGCAGGGACACCTTCCACTAGACCAGGTTGCTCAAAGCCTCATCCAACCTGGCCGAGAACACTTCCAGGGAGGAGCAGCCACAACTTCTCTGGGCAACCTGTTCCAGTGTCTGACCACCCTCACAGTGAAGAACTTCTTCCTAATATCTAATCTAAACCTCCCCTCTTTCAGCTTAAACCCATTTCTCCTTGTTTTGTCATTAGTTGTCCTTAGGAAAAGTCTTTCCCCCATTATTGCTGTTGTTATTTTGTTATCATTATTGTTGTTATTATTAAGTGCAGTCCAATTATTTATCCTGTGTAATTAAAAATGGCAGATGAGCATCAATAAAGTCAGTTGTAAATAAGCCCTGATAATATATCACCACGTGTATAAAATAAATACCTGATGTCCTACCTTATTTAAACAACATTTCCCAATTGCTTGAAGAAATTCATTGGTTTTTTCAGGTTCGTGTCCAGCCACAACACGCGCTGGTTTCACTGACAGCGGCTCTCCTGTTACCATCACAACAGCGTCAATCGCTTTCTGAAGGAAGCTGATTTTGGCATCTTTATCCTGTGGAAAAAGCAATTAAAAAAAAAATTAAAAATTAATTAAAATTAAAATTATAATTTTAATTTAATTAAAAAATAATAATGAGATTTCAAAATAATTCTGTACACTACTTACAGACTAGAAAAACTCTGATGGGAGGAAGAACTGCAGAAAGCATCCGTCCAACAAGAGCAGCACATGGTTTGTAAGGTCAAGACAAGAGGGCTGCCCCTGATTTATACTTAGATATTTCTTTTTGATTAAATTTAATTTTAAAAAAATGACAGCTTTCATAATGGATGAACATCAAACTGATGTGACCAAAGTGAAAGTATAACTTGATCTTTTTAATATGTTTATCATTGAGCTCCAGGGCATTTTAAAACCACTATAAGCCTTCTGCCACTCTATTTTCAGGGATTACATGTTAAAGAAGATACAATTTTAGTTAACAAATCATAGAAGTATTAGCAAAAGAACCACCAAAGAGTTACAACGTGATTGTTACAGAAGGACAGTTTGTGCCTTGAATATTTTTCAGCACAGAAGTCCCAAAGTTATGGGACTAATATGAGTCTAAATTGAAGGGCTTACATGCCTGCACACATACTTTACAAACCAGACTTCACAGCAAGGAAAGAAAACATACAAAAGATGGGGGGAAAGAGATACAGGCACATAATTTTATCTTCACAATTATCAGATGTGTTTGAGTTTTAGAACTATATTTTACAAACAACTTTCCCCAAGTGCCCTTCAGTAGAGCTGATGGCTTTTGGTGACCATGCAAAACCAGAAGAAAAAAAAAAAAATTAAAGGCAAAATAAACCAACTCCCACCAAGTAAAATTTTATTGGAGGGTTCTTGGCCCAGAGAGTGAAATCGTGGTGTGAAGTCTCTGCAGCTACAGAATACTCAGGGGGGGGAAAAAAAGGGTTTTTATTATTAAGACATAATAAAATTCAAGGAGTATTTAGCAGGCCTAGCACAGAAATCTACTCACTCATCCTTTCCAGCCAGGAGTGAAGATAGAGCAAGTATTTTACTGGCCAGTTAAAAAGTAAAGCCACGTGAGAAGAATTCTGTGTGTGTGATTTAATAGGTGTTGGTTCAAAAGAATATAAACTACAGCATTGAAACTGGTGAGTGCAAAGCAGAGCACTGCCCTTCCAGTTCAGTCAGAAAAGGAGCAGTTGTAATTACCCAGTAAAACACCTGATTTCGCTCTGCACTCACTGAGTATCTCAGGAGCACGGATCCAGAATGACCTGGATGGAACTGGACAGAGAAAAGAACAGGCACCAGCATTCCCTCAGCTGAGCAAGGCCAACGCTGGTTACAGACCGTCTGGTAGCACTGCCTGTTCCTGCAGCACTGGAGCTGAACAGAGATCTTGTGCTGGTGTCACTGGGCAGCACTGGGCTGGCAGCCAAACCCAGCCACTCACTCTCTTCCCCCACCCAGGGGTTAGGGGAGAGAATTGGGGGGCGAGGGGAAGGAGACTCATAGGGGGAGAGAAGAACAGTTTTATAATAGAAATAAAAGAAAACTGAAAATAGTAACGATATTAAAATAGTAATGATAGTAATAAGATATGGAAATGAGTGACACCCAGTGCCATTGCTCACCACCCACCGACCCAGCCCGGCCCGTTCCCAGAGAACGATCCCGGAGGAGCCACGCCAGAGCCCGAGCGAAAGCCAGAGAGAGCAAGAGAGGAAGAGCCCCTCATGGATCTCCTGCCCATGGGGGACAGGAGATGGAACAGCCCCTTGGCAGAGCCCAATGCCCATGGAGCTGATCCATTGCAATATTCCTCAACCCCTCTAGACCTTTCCCCTGTAAGACCAGCAAAACACAAAGTCCTTTGGCTTCCTGCAACAATTGAAAACATCAGTGTGTTCTCAATGTTCTTCTCCTAACAAATCCCAGCTGAACCCAAACCCCAGCGCTGTTCCAGCTGCTGAACAGAACCAGCTCTGGCCCAGTTCACACCAGGACAGCTCTTCACATAGTATCTCAACTCCTAGAGCCACTCTCCATAAACAAGAACTGGGTCCTGCTGCAAGCACATACAAGAAGACAGTCTTCAGAGTCAGGGTACGTCCCGTCTTCAGCTCTTCCAAACGGAATAAACCAAACAAATGCCACCCAGCTGGGATTTTCAGATTGCCTCCGTTAAAACCAGGAACACTTCACCCTCACCAGTGCTCCCTGCCTTCAAAACTAAAAAAGGAAAGGAAGGAAATACTGCAACCTCCTTATAGAATCCCAGACTGGTTTGGGTTGGAAGGGACCTTAAAGCTCATCCAGTTCCAACCCCCCTGCCAGCAGCAGGGACACCTTCCACGAGACCAGGTCGCTCAAAGCCACATCCAACCTGGCCGAGAACACTACCGGGGAGGAGCAGCCACAGCTTCTCTGGCCAACCTGGGACACTCTCTCACCACCCTCACACCAAACAATTTCCTCTTAAGAAAGAAATTGTTAAGAATTTCTTCTTAAGAATTTCCTCCTAAAAACCAGGACACCAACTAACCCATGTCCCTCAGCACTATGTCTACACGACTCTTCAATCCCTCCAGGGATGGGGACTCCACCACTGCCCTGGGCAACCCCTTCCAATGCCTCAGAACCCTTGCAGCAAAGAAATTCTTCCTCACATCCCATCTCAACTGCCCTGGCCACAACTGGAGCCCATTTCCTCTTGGCCTGTCCCTTGGTCCTTGGTTGAACAGACCCACCCCCACCTCTCTCCACCCTCCTCCAAGGGACTTGCACAGAGCCACAAGGCCTCCCCTCAGCCTCCTTTTCTCCAGGCTCAACACCCCCAGTTCCCTCAGCCACAAGGGAACTCAGCACACTTGTGCTCCAGACCCTTCCCCAGCTCCGTTGCCCTTCTCTGGACACAACTACACATCCCTGAAACAAACTAGAACTCAGTGAGGTCCACGTGCATGCTCTGCAGGACTGATGTGGCTCGTGGGTTGCTTCCAGCCTGACTCACACATCTTTCTAGGCAGGAGGAGGAGACAAACTATCCAAGCAGAATGAATTATCCCAACATTGGAGACAGAAAAGGCAGCACAGAAGAAATGGTGGGTACTTGATGATCCCACTGCTACGTCCAGGTAGGAGAGGTGAGTTGAAACTAGAAACAAAAGATAGGTGCTGCACCTATGTGCTGTGTAGCATGTAAGGGGATGTCCAGACCAGCTCCTGCCACCACAGAGGTTGGACCATGAGCTTTGGGCTTTCCTAATTTCACTCTATGCACCTCATGATCTGCAAGAGCACAGCCAGCTTACAAAGAGCACCCAGCAGTTTTTCCCAGCCCATGGCAAGCAGACTGTGGACTACAGTACTGGGACTGTTTCACAGGGGGTACAAACCTTTTCATCTTTCCTGAAAGCATCTGGCTTGTTCCAAGTCTGTGCATCTACTGCCAGATCATTATCACACCAGGTGAGTATCATGGCCTGGAGTTCCCTAAATCAGATCACTCTTGAGTAGAAATATATACAGCTATTCACAACGTGGACTCTGGCTGCTGCTCTCCGACTCTCCACGGGTAGTTTTGGTCTCTGCATAAAGAGTACTCACCCTCCTGATTTTCTACAACTCCAACAGAAATCACAGTCAGGAAGCACCCTGGGAGAGCCAAGTCTTTCTCCTGAGCAGTGTTTTGAAAAGAGGAATGCAAGCTACAGACATTTCCCCCCAACATTACAGCATTTGATCTCCTCTGCCTCAACACTTGAAAACCATGACAGAAATTCTCAGAGAGGTACTCAAGATTGATGCAACTTCAAACAAAGACACAAACAAAGACCTACTCAGGAGTTGCTAAGAAACCTGCTTTTTTTTTTATCCACAAATAAAAGAAGAGAGCACTGCTCTTCCTCACAGAACCTACCCACAAGCTTCAACAGGGACAGCAGTAACAAAACCAACAATCCATTGTATAAATAACTCAGATTTTAGTTATCTCCACAACAATAAGAACGTTCCTAGAAATAAAAGTACTCATCAGACTGATAATTAGCTGCAAGAATGGCAATAAACATCCATGCCAGTGACAAGGCAGGCTCACAGACCTCGCACTTGCAGTTGCTATGCTAAACAATCACCAATGGATGTAGCTAATTAGCAACGTACAAACACCGCCTTATTGGCAACGAAAAAGCGACCAAAGTTTCCAGTCAGGTCGGTAGCAATCAGCTCAGCAAGGAGGCAGATGATGGAAGAGCAGCAGGCAGAGATTAAAGTCACTCCTGTATTTAAGAAAAGCAACTTTTAGGAATAACATTAATCTCCTCTTTCAGTAGTTAGTCTTCGGGATTAACATTCAGTAATAGTAATTAGTATTCTGTACTAAACTCATTGTGGAATGAAGATGTTACACAAATGTCTCTGCACACCCTGAGATATTAAGCAAAAATATTTACTGTATGGATGTGTACAGTATATCTATATACTGTATATATATAAAGCAATAAATATATAAGCATAATATATACTGTATATACATAAAGCAATAAATATATAAGCATAAAGCAATAAAAATAAAGCCATACATTCCTTAAGAGACCACAAGACTTAAAAAGCTGCACGAGGATCGTGATTTCCTATCAATGCTTAGCTTCCTTTAAGGCAATCTTGCTACACAAACCATTCTTTTCATCTGTGATATAATAATATTTGGGAAATCTAGATCTGGTCAGAGATTAACCCTCAACATTTTGAAATCTGTACAGAAATAGCTCTTTAGGCACGACAGCTTGTTTGTGGCACATCCCCAGATGCAACCTGCAGCTCACCTCGTGCAGAATTATCACCAACAGGCCGTAGCTTTGACAGTTTCTTCACAAAACTAAAGACAAATCCTTGGCATTGAAGGTGGGAAAGACCAAAAGTGGCGAGTTTCAACCCGATACTAATATCACAGCTGAAATAAATCCGGGAGTTTCACACCCACCTTGACGTTATCCGATTTCAATTCGAAATCCGTGTAAAGTCCTTTCATAAAACCTGTCACTCTGATCACCTTCGAAAGGGAAGAAAAGGAGTCAGTTAAGAACACCTGGTCAATGAAGCTTGTGTGACAATGGGAAATGCTTTGGCCTTATTCATTTCCAGAGGTGACACCTTGTTTGGAAACATTTCTGGAGCAG